CTGCAAGTTTAGTTTTTTTAGCTAAATGTCATGCATTCATTGAACTCCATGACACATAAAAAACACCTGACCTGGTGACGATTCTGGTAATAACCCATCATATATTCAATCCAAACAGCCTTTTTTAATCCCCTCCTTAGCAGGTTAATCCAGGTGTGCATGAACTGACATGACTCCACTGAGCTGCTCATTAAATATTTATTGTAAATAACATTTGTAACATTTACAACATTAATCATCTATATTCTAGGAGCTTAATGGGCATTGGTCTGGTACCAGTTAGAACATATATAGAGATACTTTAGTATAGATAAATGAGGACATGTTTTCTTCATTCTTTGATGTCTCTTTCTGTTCTATCTGCCGTATCCCTGAGGGTCGTTGGCCTTCTTTGACTCCTCTTTCCCGCTCATTTTGCTGATGTGGTATAAAGTGCTGGCTAGGTTGTGAAGCTGGCATGTCCCGAGCTGACACCCGCGCTGAATGGCACGGCGTGGACGCAAGTATGGAGTCATTCTGGTGGGGGGTAAAGACAAAAAAAGAAGTCAGATTCTGGGATCGTGAGCATCAGTTGGAAATAAAAAAGTAGAAATGTTGAAGTTGTGGTTGTGCAGAGAATCCTAAAGTGAAAAACTGAGTTCTACCAAGTGAAATTGGGTCTGATGTTTTCAATCATTCCCGTGTTTCCAGTTCCCCGTTTTGCAACCATGACTGAAACCTGCTTGACACAAGTATGACAGCAATGCTCTACCTGTGTTTTAGAACATGCAGCTCAAACGGTTTGTCTTCTGAAAGAAAAGGGACGATCTTCACCAGTGGAGCGTGTTGCTTCTGCTCAGACTCTGATCTCCCGTCACTCACGGCCCGCTCAGATCCACCTGAGAGGACTACGTCTGCTGCTGGTCTGCAAAAGCAACCAGACCTGGCGATAATACTCTATAACTGAGCTCATTTATGATTGATAAGGCATGTCAAATGAGGGTCATTCATTGGTTTGGTTTCTTCCTATGTCTGACCTTTGGGTTAGTGTCAGTGGGGAAGCAGCAGTCAGAGGCACAACCAGGAACACCACAAGAGCTATCTCCATACCTCAGTCACCTAAAAGAAAATCAACTGTGGTTATTTGTTAAAAATTAATAATTGTTGAGTCATCCATTAGAAAACTATGAACCTTACCAAGAAAATGTAAAATGAATGTGAAATCCAGCAGTGGCTTGTTGAAGAAACCATTCGCTGAGTCTTGTTTGTTTTGTTAATGTCCAAATCTGTCCCTTGTCCACCTCTGGTCCTTTATAATAAGAGGGCAGGGTGAGGGGGTGTGTCTCTGATGTTGTCCAATGCATTGGGAGCTCATTGGACCAACACTGACCATTAATCCGTTACCATGGCGGTTTTATTGTCTGTTTGCAGAAGCTAATGTAGGAAAAAGCGTATACTTTAAGTGACCTTCTGTGATGTTTACGCAACTTCTTCTGCTCCAGCACTACCGCTATTCTCTCCCTCTCTCTCCCATCCCTCCCCTCCCTCGCCTCACTTGCTGCTGAGCAATTGTTCCAGAAATCATTCATTCATTTCCATCACCTGCAGGAAGCTCGCTAAGCCCAGAATAACCTCAATTCTCCTCCAGGCTTTTCTTTCTCGCCCCATTTTTTCCTGTGCCGTTTTCCCCTTGAGTCACCGTGTTTATTCTTCAAGTGCCCTCCGCTCACATCCACCTCCCCTCACACTTTTGTTTGGGAAAAACACAGCTCCCTTGATCTAACAGCTGGTCAGAAGACGATAAAGGAAGTTTTAGAGATTCTGATCAATGGATGGTTCTCTATTTAATTCTTCTCTTTTTTAGATCATCCTCATTTATATCTGGCAGTCAGTGTGTGTGTGATTGTGTGTGTGTGTGTGTGTGTGTGTGTGTGTGTGTGTGTGTGTGTGTGTGTGTGTGTGTGTGTGTAAAACAGTACGAGCACTCCATTGATTATTTTTCTCCTCTGATTAACCGTGGATTACCTGATCCAACTGTGATTGGACGACACACAGTGATGTGTTCACAGGAAGAAGCTTGGCTTGGCGGTAATGCAGACCCCGTTGACCTGCTGTGACCCAGCTTCCAGGATATCAGTCCATCACAGCCTGTCCTAGAAAACAAAGTCAGCTGCTTGTTGTTTTATTTAATGAAGGAGAGCATAAAACACCGGGATCACAGGGGCGACGGTGGCACAGGAGTTAAGTGCTCGCCTCGCAATCGGAAGGTCGCAGGTTTGAGACCCGCTCAGTCTGTCGCTGTCGTTGTGTCCTTGGGCAAGACATTTAACCCACGTTGCCTGCTGGTGGTGGTCGGAGGGACTGGTGGCACCAGTGCTCGGCAGCCTCGCCTCTGTCAGTGCACCCCAGGGCAGCTGTGGCTACATTGTAGCTCATCCCCACCAGTGTGTGAATGTGTGTGTGAATGGGTGAATGACTGATTGTGTTGTAAAGCACCTTGGGGGATTCCAGGACTCTAGAAGGCGCTATATAAAATACAGGCCATTTACCATTTCATTTACCATCATAAAACAAGATAGACTACTGACACAGTTTGTTCAAAGTAGAAATTAACCTTGAACGTCTGAGCTCAAACCGATGGACTCACCTGTAACGTTGGTGTTACACCATACAGCTGTGGTTTAAGTTTTCACTCCTCAAAACAACCTGGAAACAGATTTTGGATCTGGTACAGAGAGGCTGAAACATTCCAGTTAACACATACTGTTGTTTGATTGAAAACTGGAGCACAGGTGAAACAGGAAAAACAAGAAAATGGTGCAAAAGTACGCTTATGTTAGTAATCCAGCTTAGACTGAGAGACCATCTAAAGCAGGGGTATTCAATTCTGGGCTTGGAGGGCCGGGACCCAGCACATTTTAGTTTTAACTCTGCTTCAACACACCTGATTTCAATCAGGTGATTAACAGGCTTCTGCAGAGCCTGATGAGTTGCTGCACAGGTGAATCAAGCGTTGAATCAGAGAAACCACTAAAACATGCTGGATACGGGACCTGCAGGATCGGTTATTAAATACCCCTGATCTAAAGGCTCAAGAGCCCTTTGCAGGTGTTCTGCATTCATCAGCTGATTAGAGTGTGACACTTTGAATCTAGAATATTGAACCTATTCACAATATTCTAATTGTCTGACACTGTGAATGTGGGGTTTTCATCAGCTGTACGCCACAATCATCACAGTTATAACAAATAAAGACTTGAAATATCTGGCTTTGCTTGTAATGAATCTATCTCATATATTAGTTTCACCTTTTAGATTGAATTACTGACATAAATGAATGTTTATAGCTTATTCTAATGTTTTGAGTTTCACCTGTAAACAGTCCTTCGGAAGTGACCCTTCATGCCTCTTGATGCGGCGCTCACTTGTTTACCAGTCCAGCTGTTTCGCATCACAAAGGCCTGCTGTCCTGGTTCATCGTTGGAGGATGTGAGTTTACTTCCATGAAGGAGATTTGTCAGGACTTCTCTGACTTTTCTCCCACACATGAGCATCCTGTTGTTTTAAACCTGCATGTGTGAGATGAGCCACCCCTTTGTGCCCACCCCCCCACCCACCCACCGCAGGCCCAGTTCTCACACACACACACACACACACACACACACACACACACACACACACACACACACACACGCACACACACACACACAGGGCAGGAGGGAGAGTGAGCATCCTGCCAGGAAGGCTCGGCTTTCACTCACATAGCATCATCTCGTAGATTTCATCTGAGGAAACGCTCGATCACAAGAGTGTGAACCTCTTGGTGAAATCCCACGAGTCCAACAAAGTACAAGCAATGGGTGGTTGAATTTAATTTAATAAGATTTTATTTTATTTTTGGGAGATAAAACAACATTTGTTTTATTTTCTAGGTATTTAATTTGATTATTTGTTCATCAATTCAAAATCATTCCATTTCATTTTTTAGGGGGACTCAGTTAAGATTTCAGTAATTTATTTTTGTTTTAGTTTGACTTTGAATTAATATTTTGAATGGATAAACCATAACTTTGTTTTGAAATATTTTTTGTTATTTTTAACGATTTTCGTCAGATTTAATAAATTGAATTTCACATTTGACTTCTCAAACATTGTTTTGAAGAAACTAAAGAAGATTCTTATTTATTCAGTTAGATTTAGATTTTATTAATTAATGTGTTGCACTTTTACTTTTGTATTGTTTGGAGGTAACGTCTTTTACTTTAAATACAATATTTAAAAATCAAATTGAGTAATTAAAAAGTTATCTTTATGTGTGCATATGTGTAAATGTGTGGAGAGAGAGAGAGAGAGAGAGAGAGAGAGAGAGAGAGAGAGAGCGTGAGAGAGAGAGAGAGAGAGAGAGCGTGAGAGAGAGAGAGAGAGAGAGAGAGAGAGAGAGAGAGAGCGTGAGAGAGAGAGAGAGAGAGAGAGAGAGAGAGAGAGAGAGAGAGAGAGAGAGAGAGAGAGAGAGAGAGAGAGAGAGAGAGAGAGATGGTGGCCCTGGAGGGCCAGGCCTGCACATCCCTGGTTTAGGAGGAACAGTGTTCCATTACAGTCAACCCAACCATGAGAATGCTGCACTCTGGTGGAATCAGACACAAACAGCATGACAAACATATTTCTATAATTTGTGGATTCTCAAGTGGAACTGATTGCAAATGATTAGAATTAAGACTAAATTAACATTGTATCAGTTGTGATTCAAATAAAACCTAATTCTGTTATCATGTGTGTGTTTGTCAGCCACATGTTCAGCATCTAAAAGCTATTAAAATACTGTAAACAAACAAACAAAAAGGAAAACAGGAATATTTACTTGTTGTTTAGGTATCTCCTGAGCTTTTAACAGATTTCAGAAATATTTCATCAAAAGCTGTGCAGCACAAGTACAGTAACCCTCTAAGAGGTTGAAAGGTCACCACAGGCAGATATAATCTTAGTCCATTAGTGGATTATAACCATAAACACTCGATGGCTCCTGTTTCCCCTTGGATTAGAGAGAGAGGGAGAGAGAGGCTGTCTGCATGACTGTGCCTGGTAAGGAGATTGAACTGAAACAAAATCAAGTGCAGAACAGAACGGATCCGTGGAGGAAGGCTCACTTGGCAGAGAGCTGGGAGAAAGTTAAAGGACCTGCGTCGTAGCAGACTGAGACTTGCAGATCACGTGACCTGCTCAGAAGCTCTAGGTAAGTTTACACAAACTCTGCTATGCTTAATCTGTTTGAAGGTCTCTGTGTTTCATGTGTGCATCAATCAATATGTTATCAGTGTGAGCAACGTACATGTTGTTGTTGTTGTGTAACTTTCATTTTGTGATTGTGTGTGTGTGTGTGTGTGTGTGTGTGTGTGTGTTCTGTGTGTGTGTGCGTGTGTGTGTGTGTGTGTGTGTGTGTGTGTGTGTGTGTGTGTGTGTGTGTGTGTGTGTGTGTGTGTTCAGGAAGCATGGATGTGGACATCGAGGGGATTATCCAGCGCATCAAGCAAGGGGACGAGAATGGTGTTCAGATCCAGCTGCAGCAGTTCAACAAAGAGGTGACACACACACACACACACACACACACACACACACACACACACACACACACCACTTCTGCTAATGATGGGGTTCTTTACTCTGCAGAACGCTCAGTGCTTCTTCTTTGATGCAGAGGAGAGGGAACGAAGACGTGTGAGTTCCTGCAGAAAAACTTTACCTTCACATCTCATGGTTTTTTGTTTGTTTGTTTGTTAATTTTTTTACTCTTTGTTTGATAAAATCTCTTTTTTACTCACCAACACTTGTCCCTGCCCCCACGTTAATGTGATTAGTAATTCTGCTGCATCAGTTGTCCCTGATCCTCTCTGCGTGCTGCTCAGGCAGATTGAGTCCAGACAAATGAAGAAGAACCACTGTCCTCACAACTGTTCAAGTCAGGAGGAATGCATGTTCAAACAGAGATGGATGCAGTTTGAAAGCTGAAATTACACATATTTTATAGATTATACAACTTTTTGAACAACTATGCATCTTTTACATTGATTTAAAGGCTTGCTTGACTTTGTTCATTTCTTATTAAACCACACCAAGTTTCTTTTTAACATTTTGAGCACTAGTAGCTCATTCACACCCACTAAGTCAAAGTTGGAATTTACTGGCATTTTATCATAAACTTTTATTTATATTTGCTTGTAACCTCCGTGCTACTATAGGAACATTAACAGATCTTTTCTTCTGCTTATATTTGAAAACGGATTCTATAATTCCTGCAGCAAAGGCAACTGGAAGAGGTAAGGCGTTGCCACAGTTTAGAATAGACATGTAGATCCAAAGCATCTTTTTTAGTTGCACGTAAAAACCAAAAGGTTCATCCACAAGCTCAAACAAAGTGTTGGAATTGCTGTCATGTTTACTCATTGTACTCCTGGGTCAGTTCAAGAAGAACAAAGTGAGGGATTACACCGATTCTGACTCTGACAGCGAGGAGCTCGAGCAGGAAAACCGAAGCCTCATCCTCAGACAGGTAACTGTGACGCTGTTCTGAAACAGCTTCTGATGCTTTACAAAACCTTTTGGTGTGTTTCTTCTTCTCTCTGTTCAGAATTTAGCTGTTGTCCTCGTGAGATTCATCAGAACAGGAGTGAAGTGCCGCCTGCTGAGAGTGTCTCTGCGCTCCCTGAGGATCCTGACCAGGGACAAAAAGATCCTGGGCCACTTTGTGACCGACGCTGCCCTCCTGACTTTGGCTAAACTAGCCGGGCTGATCACCAGCGACGCCAGCGACGAATCCAGCGACACTGACTCTGATTTCTACGACAGCGTCATCGCTTCCCTCACAAAGGCCAAAGTGCTACAGGGTCGTTCTGATGAGGACGAGGGTGAAGCCGAAGCCATCGATGGCGACTCCAGTTGTGACATCAGCAACATCAACAGTGAAGATCCAGACAGCAACAGCTGGCTTGGGAGCCACAGGACCAGCATCAATGAGATGCACAGAGGAGGCAGCCATCAGAAGGCTCTGGAGCAAGGGAGGAAAGACCGCAGGGAGAGCAAGATGGATGCAGAGGAAGAGGAGGATGAGGAGGGAGAGCTGGGGGAGGAGGCACAGAGGAAAGAGGCTATGAAGGTGCTGTGTAATGTGGTGTACAACAGTACCTGGGCCCAGGAGAGGTTCAGCTCTCTCAGGTAGGCCGACTCTAGAGACTCACACAGATTTACTAAAACATCAACCTTCTTGTTATATAAAGAATTAGAAACACTAACCCTTCATAGTGAACCAACCATATTTGATCACCTGCATTCCATTTATTTGCAACCTGAACTTTACACTTCTTACAAAACAAATAATCGTAAAGAAAAAAAGGAAAACCTCCAAAAATGTAAAATACAATATTCAAATGTATGTTCATTCAAACATTTAAAAAAAGTTTAAAATAGTGAAAGGTAGCTGTGACTGTGATGCTGTTCTGAAAACGTTAATGTTACAGAGGTAATAGAGTAAAAAGAGAAAAAAGGGTAAACTTCTTTAAGTACGACAAAAAACCTTTAAAAGGTGACATATGTTTAAAAAATGTTTTAAAATTTCAAAAGAATAAAGTTTTTATGAAACTGAAAAGAGGAAACATTGTTTTTTTACAGCAGTAATAAAAAGCAAAATAGAAATGGAAAAGGCAGAAAAAGAAAGTTAAAAGTAAGAAAAAAGTCCTTTGTAAAAGTTAAAAATGCAAAAAGAACAAAGTTTAAAAAGTAGGTAAAACATTTAATTTAAAAAGTTCTAAGAAATCCCAAAGGTTGACATGTCCTTGTGTTTTGGAGAATGCCTTTTAAAGAGTTAGACTATTACAAATCCTATTCTGCGTGAAAGTGTTGAGTTTATTAATGTTTATAGGTCAAAACAACAAGTCTAAATCCAACATTCAAATAAAAACTAACCAAACACTGAGACAGAATTCATTCTGTGGATTGTGTCGACATGTTTCCAGATATCTACTCCTGCTTTTGTTCCCCTGATCAGGCTCCTGAGTGGTCTCATCCAGAGTCTGTCCTCCAGTGTCAGCTCGTCGTCTCCTTCCAGTGTTCAGTTCTACGAGCTTCGCCTCATGTTCCTCATCACGGCACTGCGACCAGAGCTCAGCACTCAGCTTCAGCAGGTGTGTGACAGGGTCTCCTCTTCATCATAGGAGGATTTCTTCCTCTCCTCTCACTAATTCTTTTTGTCTTCCAGGAAGGAGGCGTACCCATCCTCACCACTGCCTTGGAGAGTTGCCTGGAGGTCCAGTGGAAGGAGCAGCATGAGTGTGTGCTGGACCCCGCGGCACCACCTATCTCTCTGGAGGCCTCTCAGCGCATCATAGAGGTCCTGAAAATCCTCTTCACCATCACCTACATCACACACAAGCAGGAACCAAGTGAGGTTGGTGACAAAATGTGCTAGTTACATAATATGGACAATAACAAGTTAAATCTAGCTTGTTCTTATCTATTCTCTCTCAGCTGTATCTCATAAATCACTGTTTAAGCCCAGATGTGGCGAGAGGAAGGTTGTGTTACGTTTTTTTTCCTATGAAGGATGATGCTGCTCTTTACCGCCACCTAGTGGCAATTCTGCGTCTCTGCCTGATGAGGAAGTGTATGCTCCCAGAGGACACTGATGAGCTTCAGGGGTGAGAAGACGACAGCTCCAACTTTACTTAAGAAAATCTCAAAATACACAACAAATAAGGGAAATGCAACCTTAAAAATGAGAATTTGTATGTGTTTTTGTTTATTTTCCCCTGACTGCTGCAGTCACACAGTGAACCTGCTGTCAGCGCTGCCTCTCCAGTGTCTGGACGTGCTGCTCACTGTGCCTTTGCAGCCAGACTCCAAGCAGAGCCTGGGAGTCAACATGGACTGTGTGCACGTGCTGCTGATGTTCATGGAGAGGCGTCTGGAGTTGGTGAGGGAGAGAAGAACATTCCTGCTTCTTCGTTTTGTTCATAAACTATTTTGTTTTTAGTAGAAAAAAAAGAAAACTTTATTGCAAAGTGTTGAGCGTTTAATCTTTTCCACCATTTCAGGGAGAGAAGATCAAAGAGAAGCTGACGCCCATCCTCAACCTGCTGACAGAGAGCTGCAGGGCTCACAGAGAAACACGGCTGTACATCAGGAAACATGTAACGCCATGCGCCAGAATTACAGTGTGACTTAATTTAAATGTGATCTTAATCTGAAAGGTGCTGGCTCTAGCATAAGTAAAACACAACTTACCATCATGTTAGGTACTGACCTCTCTGGTCAGTCACTCTTACATCAGCGGTTCACAACCTGGGGCTCAGGAGCCTCGTGCAGCTCTTCATCTCTTCTAACAGGAAATAGTAGTTTGGGCTGATTTCCTGTCCAGGTTCTTTACTATAAGTGACGGAAGGTTCTCCAACAGAACACTGCTAACAATATAGGCTGCGTCCCAAAGTGAGCTAAAAATGAGTCTCTAAAGATGTGTTTAAAATCTTTATTTATGTAACTCTCTGACACAAATAGTTTTCTCTTCAAATCCAACAGAAATATTAAATTTTCCTGCATGTTTGATTCATTTTTTTAACATAAAAACAGACGATACTTTTGGACACACTGGAATGCACTGAATTTTAAAATAGCACAGCACCACACAGAAAAGCTAATTGTCGTACTTTAAATCATAGAGAACCCCCAGATTTGTTTTTATTTGCATGTTTTTATGGTTCAGTTTGATGCTTTATTCTTCTCCAACTGGACAATATAAAAGAAATGTTAAAGTCCTGGGTAAAACCCAGCAAATACTCCCTGAGCACAGCCACCGCTGCAGCTCACCGCTCTGGGGATAGTGGGGAAGCATTGGTCCCAATTCAAAGGTCTTTGGTATGACCTGACTGGATTTGAACCCTGATTTCCTAGTCCTACAGACGGCACTCGTATCTCTAGGCCACTGAGGTACTTTAGAACATAAACTCCTCATTGTAAAGGTTTCTGTGTCTCTATTTAAACTATATTCAGTAAGAGGAATGCCGTTTTCATTCGTCATTCATCCGTGAGAATGTTTTAAATACGGCAACTTACATATTTACCTGTAACTGGTTTATTTGTGCTTTTACATCTTTCTAGTTATTTTCTCCTTCAAGGACTACCTCATATCAGCCTATATCTCCCTGATTAGATCCTTCCTCCCCTGAGAGACGTGTCTCAAAGACCAGAGGAAGGCACCACAGTGAAGAGCCGCCTGGTTCGTCTCATGACTCATCTGGACACGGACCTTAAACACTGCGCCGCCGACCTGCTCTTTGTCCTCTGCAAGGAAAATGGTAAACACCGTCTCTGCTTTGGAGGAAGAGATGAAGCATAATAAGTTTAGTCAGAAAACGAGCCATGGTCTTCTTTAATGTCTTCTGCCCTTCAGTGAGGCGTTTTGTGAAGTACACAGGCTACGGTAACGCAGCGGGCCTGCTAGCCACCAGGGGGCTGCTTGGAGGTCAACGGGTAAGCAACTCCAGCTCAGAAGCCCACTACTCCAGTGACTCGGATTCAGACACAGAAGAGTACCGGCAGGCCAAAGACCGCATCAACCCGGTGACGGGGCGGGTGGAGGCCGAGCAGCCAGACCCCATGGAGGGTATGACGGAGGAGGAGAAGGAGGAGGAGGCCAAGAGGCTCATCATGCTCTTCAACAAGCTCTCCAGGTGGGAAGAACTCTTTAATACTCTTTATCAAAGGGTGTTAAAGATGTCAGACATGATGCTTTGAATGACCTCTATCTGCAGAGAGAACATCATCCAGCCAATGGGAGTGGATGAAGAAGGGAAGCTGGTCCCAATGAAAGGCCTGGAGGATAATCCCGAGTCGGACTCGGACCAAGAAGAGAAGAAATGAAACGAGTCAAACTGTTTACCTGATTTATTGGTTTTGTAAACATTTAAGTGTGTCAGTGAAGGACATTCCTTAAAAAACAAAAAGAACAGCCGTAACATGACAGTGAGTCAAATTCTGACTGAAACCAACCATGTAGAGCAGCTTTCACACTGCTACGAGTTAAACGTGAAGTTAAGTAGTTTTTCCTGAGAAGAAATAAGTTTGATTATTGTTGCAATGTTTCAATAAAGTCTACAAAGCTCGAATTCTCCCAAGTTATCAAATGACATTATTCGTCTTTACAGGGGACTATGTGTATTCATACACAATAGTTCCATTTTAGTTTGAGTAAATAGGGCAAAATAAATCATCAATTAAAAAAATGGAACAACGAGTTTGTTGCATTTTATTGTATTATCTTTAAATGTAAACAGACACAAATCACACATCCAAGCAAAGAATTAAGCCATGACGTTGTTTAGAAGATAGAACAGAACACATAATTATGTTAACCCCATGACTAGAGCAGTTACCAGTTTTACTTGAGATGTTCAGTTCACACTAACATCAGCACAGGTCCATCATCTCCTCCAGCGATATCTGCAGATCCACAGACTTCAGGGAGGAGGCGCCACCTTCAACAGCTATGGTCTTCAGAAGCTCCATGGAAATCAGGACCACCTGGTAGAGGAAAAACAGGTAGAACGTTTGGTAAATGTGAGTGATTCTGTTTAAATTTACTCTTTAGATCATTTTCTTACACTACTGTCAGCTCCACACAAAAACTCAACTGAGCTTAGTAAGTTCCTGTAAAACTGAGGATAATATCTGAAACGTTGTCGGACCTCGACTGTGATTAGCTTTTTGTCCCATGGTCTGTTATCTGGGTCCGGCCACTTCTCCCCAAGACAGAAGAACAAGCTGCAAGGAGGGCTGCCCCTGCCATTACTGAAATAAATGATTCCTACAAAAAATATAAAAATAAAAAAGCAACTTTATAATGTCATTGTATTCCTGTGTTTTCTGACAAACACAAATTCCCTCTACACACCTTGGATGAAGTCTCGGAACAGGTAAAGTTGGACAGGGTTCCGTTTAGAAATCTCTTGTGGCTTTCTGCTGTTATCAGACCTGCAGAAGCTCCAGAACACTTTGGTTTCGCCGTGGCGCTGGCCCCACACCACGTTGGCAGACACCCTCACCTCCAGTCCGTCCCCCAGCATGTCCAGAATCCTTTGGGTCAGCCTAGCTTGGGTTTGATCCAGAATGCCTTTGGGTTGTGGCAGAGAGACCAAAGAAAGGCCCGTCTTAGGGTCCACAGCTGCGCTGACGAGATCAGGCCTGATGTGAGGAGAAGATTTAGTCCATTAGGTGGTTTTAAACTGAGAAAATAGGTGAATCAGAGAGTTCAGAAAATATTTCTTATTTGCTAATGCAAGGGGTATTTTTCTAAGAATTTGACTTCTTCAGGAGATAAAAGACTTGAGCATGGTATCTGCAGGTTTAAGGGAGCCAACTGTAAGACATTTGAAGACTGTTTTTAAGGCCACTTAGACAAAATTTAAGCTATTTTTAAAAATTAAATTTAAGTTATAATTTCCAGCTATTGCCTGGAACCGGGGCTAACCACGTCGCAAACATGGGATTAGCCATCCAGTTACCATTAAACTTGCACTTCCCCATGGCGCAAGCTCCCACTAGCTTAACCAGCTAATGTGCTCATCTAAAAATAGCCTCCTTTCACAAGCAACTGAATGTGTACGGTTCCGCTTACTCCAATATCGTACACAAAAAATGCTGAACGGTAACGAGATATTCACAAAAATTTTATAGAAATAAAACATTCTTGTTTATTGGGTCTTCGGTCATTTAAGACCTTTGGAAACTGTATTAAATGATTATTTGTCATTTTTAAGGATTTTTGAGGCCTTAAATTTGGAAAAGCAAATTTAAGACTTTTTAAGGACCCGCAGATACCCTGTTGAGGGTGTGACATGTCTGAGTTATGATGATCATTAAATTTAGAAATAGAAAAAAAAAATGATGGAAACTAGTAATAAGATTAGAGGTTTTTTTTGGTTTATTCTAGTACTACTTAATCATGGTACTTTACACATATAATTTTACTGTGTTCTTAAAGCTGGCTGTCTTCCTAGAAGACAAGAATAATCATGAAAATTTTCACAATAACAGTATACATAGGAGGAATAATTTCCTAGAATGTCAAATCTTGTTTTGTTCCTTTTTATTAGTCGTACTTGTAGCCAACTACAAAAGATGAATTAAGCAATGAAAACAGCAAGCTATTTTTATAAATATTAATGACCAGCAGATTTGACCAGAATCACAATATCTTAAAGATGTGGGACACTCGTTTAATCAATGCATCTGCAGTGGTGACTAGTAGGAATGAATGCCTTGCCCAAGCTGTATTTGGGGGACAAAAAGCTAGCAGAATGCCACATCAGAGTTGAGCTGAAGAAGGTAGGATTAAGAGTCTTATTTCCTGATATTTGGACATCTTGCCTCTGATTTGATCACAGACATGCAACTCTACCACTGACTCCTTTTCCTTTGCAATGTTGATGTTTTACCCACACAAATATCACAAGTCTGAAATAGTTCTGCTGTGTGGTGGAGTTGCTAATGCTAACAGTTAGCTTCTACTGGTCGAGAAATTCTCTGCTGTTTCCTGGATGCTAAACAACAACAGCCTTCCCCGTCCCGAGTCAAGATGGATGAGTCCATGACTGTTAAGTGACAGTGTGATGTAGACCTGAGGATTTTCAATTCCCAGAGGTTCACCATCTATTTTCAATCTGAAGCTAATGCAGCAGATAGGTGTAGGAGACTATTTACATATTCAGCCTATATGAAAAACTCAGTGACTGATTATGATCATTAAAAAAATGGTCTTTTAGAGTTCTGCAACTCTAATTATTGTTTCTTCATGTAAAGAACAACAGAAACCACGTTTAGATGTGCTGCATGTTAGGTGGTTAACACACAACCATGCAGGTACGCAGATAGGGTGGGGGATGGGGGGGATCTGTCCCCCCCCAGATTCAGATTGACTCTGATCCCCCCACCACCACCACCACACACACACCACCCCATCCCCTTTAGGCAAGAAAGAAAACAAAATCGGAGGTTATGCGCTTGAAGCTCCTTTTCCCAATTACATTGAATGCAAACACCGACTCCAGAGTCGCCAAAGTGGTTGCTGCTTGGGACGAAGGATGAGGCAAAAAAGACAAGCAACAATTACTGCATTTTTTAAAAAGACCAACAGTGTAAGTGGGCAGGACCGATCTGTCTGTTTATGCATGTTGGTTATAGTTTCAGCACATTGTTGTCAGTGTTGGGACTTACTAAGCGCCAAAGTCGCAATACTGCGACAAGCGTCATTGCTGACTTTAACAAGTCACATCTACAAATATGATCACTCATGAAGTTACTACTTTACACCAGAAGATAGTGGAGATGCGTAACCTTCAGGCTGAGCAAAGTTTGGGAGTTTTGAGTTTGAAAAACGCCTCCCGCCAAGAGGCTCCCAGTCGGGGAGAGGTGGAGATGCGCGCAGCATGAAGAGGGCAAAAATTATCGGGATGAAACTTACAATTGCCGGCAGGGCTGGTCTTTGTTGACTGATCACTTTGTCTGGTAATGACTCACTCCAATTATGAAGCAGAATATTGACTCTGATGAAGAAATTCACTCATCCAGCCGGAAAGATTGATGCTGCAGCGCTCATCATCAGACAGCTGGTGCTGCACGAGAGGTGTGTGCTTACAAGACCCAAACGTTGGGTTTGATGTTTGTTTAACCTTCTCTGTGATGTGATGGATGTGGAAATGATGGTAAAAACACCGCTAACGTGATAGGCATAGCAACAATGTAAAAAAAAAAGGCCGTAAAAAAGAGGCAGATGCCGATGCATTACATATGGAAGTCAAAGTGTGCCACATAATCGCAAAAATAAAAGTAAAATCTAACATTTAAAAAGAGCTTTACTTATGTATATATAAATTAAAATTTCGAAATATAATGAAAATTTCTAAACAATGTAAAAATAAGAAGGAACATCTGTTGGTCAGAGGCTAAAATTTTTGGGAACAACTGCTCTAAGTCATAAGTGAATATCGTTTTTATTATATTTTATGTGCAGTTTTTTTTTACATAGGGCTTTTTATGTTTTCTGTAAAGATTGTAGGTCTGGGTGATATGGCCTAAAATCAATATCACGATATATTGAGGATTTCATCACCTCGATAATGATAAATGGACGATAACTACAGGTATATGCAGAAACAAAAGTTGTCCACTAGATGCGGCTGTCACGTGTGTCACGTCAAGGTGGAATAGCTTCTTAAAGGGATTCGAACGTTGCCAAACTACACACATCTATTCATATTTTTAATTATCAAATTTATTGACATGGAAAAAATTATCTCGACATGGGTCAGAAATTTTGATAACAATAAATTTTTGATTTACTGCCCAGCCCTAAAAGATTGGTATGCTGAAAATCTGTTAATGTTTAAATAAAACATGTTTTGCATAAAGCATGAGGTTTGGGTTAGTAATTGATTGAGAGAATAACAAATGACTGATTTGGATAGTGTTGATCAGGCAGAGCTTTGTTGCCAGCGTTCCATTGCACAATGGATTCAAACACGTATAGTGTTAGTTTTTTCGTAAACCATTGGATGAAATTACACAAACGGACTGAGGTCTAGTCAAGGCTCTTGCAACTGTTTGTGTGTGTGTGTGTGTGTGTGTGTGTGTGTGTGTGTGTGTGTGTGTGTGTGTGTGTGTGTGTGTGTGTGTGTGTGTGTATGTGCTTGGGGAGGGTACATTGGAACTTTGTCCCCACCAGTTTGGAAATCCTATCTGCGCCCTTGCAACCATGGACGTAGTTTTGTGGGGGGGCTGGGGGACATATCCCCCCAACTTTTTCCAACTAAATTTTAGTCCCCTGCACTTTTTACTGTCCAAAAAAAAACCAGCTCAACTGATACTTGTTTGCTTTTTTACTGCCACCTGTGTAACTGACAGTTCTGCATTCCTGACACTGTATAAAAGAGATTCTAGGCCGTAGTTTTATACGTATTTTTTGTATACTTTCTGTAAAGACGAACCCTTCTTCTAAAGTCAAAACTACATCCATGGACACAACAATGTCCTTTTGTTTCTTTTCATGATACACAGTATAGTGATCTTCACTAAACCCTTTATGGCTGCAGAAGCAGATTTACCAAATGAGGTCACTTCATCAAACTTAGTTAATTTATCTTCAAATAAGATAAATCAGCTCACAGAACATCCTAAAAAGGATCAAGGAAACTCAACTTTACAAATGAACCAGAATGAAAAACTTGGTCCATGAAAAAAGCGCTTCCCAGACATGTATTTTTGAACAGGAAGAGCATTTATTAATCCACATGATATTTTCAGTATTTCCATATTTACCATAAATCCTCTAATATTAGCCTGTATTTAATTAACTGACGGGTATCATATTTTGGCCGGAGTCGGCGGAGGTGAATTATGGCCGGTTTTTTATTGTGGCCGGGTGGAATGTGGTAACAAGCAAGTACGGGGGGCGGTTGTGTCTCACTTTTGATTTGCCAGTGATAGACAGCGAGGGCAACTTTAATCATGCGGAGAGGAAGAGGAGGCGAAAATTTGATATCAAGTTCAAAGAGAACGTGCTGATTATGCTGCAGAACACTCTGGGGAGCAGTAGCAGGGGTTGTATGAACTAGTCACTAGTCATCTTCACCGCTTTATAGTGACTTTTTATGCCTGTCATCGACTAGTCACTAGTCGCTGTCACGTGATAATGACCGGCAAGATGCAGTCCACGGCAAAGACAGCAGCCTGCTGTCAGCAGGTGACAGGTGATGTGCCCCGATCCACAGCAGCGCAACGCATCAGGCCCAAATAAAAGAATAAAAAAAACAAAAAACATAAAAGGAAATGAGCCAACATGAACGATCACGTGTTAAATTAGTTTTTGAGGTGGCGACACCTAATTTGATAATGGCCGTGCTCAGGACGCAGATGTCTGGAGCGCGTCAACAATCAGAGCTTTGCATGCGCACGCTGGTTAAGGTTAGGATGGGGGTGAGGGGAATGTTAAATTGCAAGAGGGTAAACGTCACAATTTGGTTAAATGTCCGTTTTACGGCGGGTGTCAGTACCTACGCTCTGGCACAGCGCGTTGCCTCCCGTGGCCGGCGAGCAGCGCGCACTCCGCTGTTTTTGCGGTCGGTAGATCTTTTAGAACTGCAGTTCAAAGGTAACTCATAAGGTGAATATATATGAAGCCAGGTAGCAGTTTTTCTTTAGGATTGAGAGGAGATGCAGGAAGATAATAAACAGGCAGGACAGAAAAATAGTCAAATAAAAACAAGTTAGTTTTTGTACCTGGTGGTTGCAACAAACAGACACCACTGAAGGTAATCAGAAGTGAGGAACAGAAAATGAAATAATTATTTTAATGTTTAGAGCAGCAGGAACTCTGAGAGGCTCCAGGCGCATCAGTGAGTTTGCGGCCGCTGCTCAGGGGGAGGGGGAGAGGGCTGAAGCAGAAACTACCGTTGTTAAAAGAAATGTGAACTTTGAAAATGTGGGCGCAATTTTAATTGTCAAAAACTCCAGCGAACCATTAATTCATTTTGCTCAAATAGAAATTGAGGCCTGCCTCTAATTCTGGTCCTCCTTCAAATAAAGGCCTGGAGCTTGATGAGTTTGAGTCAAATACAGACCCGGGCCTGTATTAGAGGATTTACGGTACATTTAATTTCTTAAAATGTGCACATATTTAACATTTAGAATTTTGAATATTTTAAGCATTATTCTTTCTTGTTTATTCTTTACTCTACTTTTAACTCTCCATTATGCTCTTGTGTCGACTGTAATTCCTGCTGTGACACCAATATTTCCACACTTGGGACAATTGAGGAATTTCCTAGAAGAATAAGAAGAATAAGAATAAGAATAATAATAATAAGAAGAAGAGGAATGATACATGCCAGAGCAAATGAGAATCATGAGGTCAAAGGAACTGCCTGAAGAGCTCAGAGCACAGATCTGGCCATGGTTACAAAAAAAATCTCTGATGCACTTAAGGTTCCTAAAAGAAGAAGAAGAAAAGATATTTTCTATAGAGCATCTCAAGATAAAAATCACGAGGCGCTTCACAAACAAAAAAAAGGAAAATATAAAAAAGAATTTAGAAAATGATTAAAAATATATTTAAAATGAGCAAAAATAGACAATTGTGATTAAAAATGTAAAGAGAGAGAGTGAATAGGAAAGAGGGAAATCAGTGGATCCTGAGGAAGGTGGAATAGGTGGGGAGAGCAGAATATGGAGAGAGTGGTGAAGGTCACACCAAAGCCAGCCTGAACAGGTGATTTTTCAGCTGCTTTTTAAAGGAGACCACAGAGTCCACTGATCTCAGGCTCAGGGGGAGAGAGTTCCAGAGTCTGGGGGCCACAGCAGCAGATGATCAGTCACCTTTGGTCTTTAGCCTGGTGCTGCACAACCAGTAGGCTTTGATCACTGGACCTCAGGGACCTGCTGGGGGTGTAGGGACTAAGAAGATCACCAATGTAAGATGGTGCTTGTCCATGTAAGGCCCTATAGACCAGAACCAGGATTATGAAATGAACCCTGAAGTTGACTGGCAGCCAATGAAGCTGGAGGAGAAGCGGGGTGATGTGGGTGTGTGTGTATATTTATATACATATATATATATATGTATATATATATGTATATGTGTGTGTGTATGTGTGAATCCAAGCAGGTTCTCTTAAGTACTGATAAATACATCTCCTTTAAGCTCATGTTCACTGACTGAGATGTGAGAAAGTTGTCAGCATGCTTACTAAGAGCTGAGGGGAGGGGCTTCTGTTGCCTGTTCAAGAGCACTCTGGGATTTGTAGTTTTTATACAGTTGTGGAATATATACAGTACACCCTACAAAAATAATCCTACAGCCCAGATAATTATGTACAATGTATGTCTAATTATGTACAAAGGATTGGCATCTTTGTCCTAAAACATCTATTAGTTGTTTTGAAGGAAAGACGAGCTTCTTTAATGGGACGTTACCTGTAGACCAGACGAAATCCAGCTTCTGTGTCCACCTGCTGCTTAGCAACCTCCACCCCTCTGTAGTACACGGTTATACGGAAATGAGTCTCTAAGGATTCAGAAACATTAAATGAGGATTTTATTAAATGTGCTTTACTTTCCTTTTAAATTACAGTACAACAGCTTGTGTGGAAATATTGTGTGTGTGTGTGTGTGTGTGTGTGTGTGTGTGTGTGTGTGTGTGTGTGTGTGTGTGTGTGTGTGTGTGTGTGTGTGTGTGTGTGTGTGTGTGTGTGTGTGTGTGTGTGTGTTCCCCAACTTACTGAAACTATCTCCATCTCTAGTCTTGTTCACTGTGTTGAGGAACTGTGCTGCGTACTGCCAATCATCACCATCCCCTCCCACAGCCCCAACCACCACACGCGCTGGTTGCTCAGGCAACCCAGTTTCACAGAATGCACCCTCAAATATTACTGGATCCTGCTGTTGCCCAGGCAACGGGTGCCCACCAATCACAAACTGATCCTGCAGCTGTTGTTGCTCAGACAGAGGCTCGAAGCCTGTGGTGCCCTCTGTGGAAAAGTTGGACAAAATGAAAAAAACTGTTCGTATGAAAATTCTTCAGATGCTCGTCGTGCATGCATCAGTGCCAAGGAGACGAGGACGAGTGATGATAAGACTACCTGATTGAGGGCTGATGTTCAGATCTTTCAGACACTCCTGGAGAATATCATGGTTTTCTGGGTAATCTGCTGGAAATAGTTTAAGATCAATAAACCACAAAAATCAAACAATGAGTTATTAGATCAAATACTAAAATATATAAGTCAGAAAGCGCCTTCACCTGCCGTCATATTTTCAGGTGTAAGGAAGAGTGCTTCATCGAGGTCTGGGACATGATTCTGATAATCACAGATCACACCTCTAAATTAGTTCATGTCCAGTTGGGTCATTTTCACAGTATGTGTGTGAGGTCACTCACGTGTGGTGCATTGAAATCATTGAAAAATATGGCATCCTCTTGCTCCTGGGCTCCAGCAGAAGAGTTTGCTGTCAGAATAAAAAATACAATTTAAAAAAGCCTAATTAATAATGCCATAATTTAGAAGCATCTATTTATTCTCACCATCTGGCTGTGAATCAGTCACTTTTTACTTTTGCAGCTATCTGATTCAAAATTTAATAACATTTACAATAATAACCTATAACTAGAAAATTCCCTAAGACATTTTTAAAGGGACCTGCCCGTTGGCACAAGATGGTGGCCATTAAACTTCTTCTTCTGGCTCTTGGAGGGTGCAGACGCTTTTTTCCTCCTCTCCTCCATATCTTATCCTCAAGGCCCTTTGTCTGTCTGTGTGTGCCGGGTGCACGGCTGCTTCTGCATTTTTTTCTGGAAACTGAAATTCACTAAAATGGATCTCGTCAGTTGGTCACTCAACGCGATTGATAAAATTTTTTCAAAGATGAGAACGGGAGAAGGAGCTCCCGGATGCCCCTCCGCGACAGACCCAGTCTCAGAGCTCAGAGATGGTTTGCACCGCGCTGTGATTTCACAGACTCACATAATTGTTGAGATGCATCGTAAGCTTGGAACTTTGGCCGAGATTCATTATTGGCACAAAAGATAGATGCCATCAAGGAGAGAGTGGACGAATCAGCACCGATTGGGATAGATTAATGTCCATTATTGGGATTTTGAGAGGTTGAGGACCAACAAACTGTAAGACAGAGAGGAAATTATCTCTGTCTGGCCCCAAAACAATTTCTAATTGGAATCTGGCGTCCTTGAGCCTGCAAGGCTACAACAAAAACTTCCCCCCTCAGAAGATATGTGGAATGTGCCGTCGCTATGGCAACTCAACTCTGTCTCCTTTCCCAGCCTAGGCGGGACTGCGAGAAGTCCGCTGAAACGTTCCAGGGTCACTGCAACCCTCCAACCCTCAATGCTCCCCCCATCCACACCGAGGTAACATGCGCTGCTTATCGTGGCTGCAGGAACTGAAGTGGGGATAGTCCCAACCCACCACCCCACCGGTTCAGCTTCTGAACTCATGTTGTGTGGCTCTACTCCTTTGAACTTTGAACACAAATTATTGTTTTGGAACTTTTTATTTATTTATTCTTATTTATGTTTCTTATGTGCAATTTATTCCTGTCCAGGGTGAATAAGTTCACCAAGTTAACTTCCACAGAGTGTTACTTTGTTACAAAGCACAATTATTACATTTTATTTATTGATGCATTTTTATTATTTTAATATTCTTATAGGGATCTTCTGTCCTCCCCAGAGTTTGCTAAGTCAGAAAAAACATGTTGTAACCAGTTGTTTTAGCATAAAGCAATGGAAGGGAAGGCTTGCATTCACCTACATAAAAAACACTACAATGTATGTGAATTCACTTACATTGTTTTATGCTAAACTAAGAAAACCAACTGCTGCCAGACCATATTGGACTAGTTATAAAATGCTTTTTCTGACTTGTCTAACTCTGGGGAATCTTATCAAGACACAATTTTACTGAGTGGTGGAATATTCCTTCAAGTTAAAATGTATTTGTGGAAACCACAGTTTACAAGAAAAAACTTGAATGTTAGATTTATGCTGTGACTGAGTTTGTGTGTTCTGTTGTTTTTGAGATCTGCTAAACAAATCTTATTTGCATTACTTGGAAACCCTAGTGAGTTATTGAGACAGTTCTTAGGTGTGTAATAGAGAAATAAGTTTGCATCAAAAAGGCAGAGAATGAAGGGTTTAAGCTTAAGAAAATTTTTATTTCTTTTTTTGTGAGGGAGATTTATCGGCCATTATATCGGCTATCAGCCTTTGTTAAAAGTTTTATATCGGTATCGGTCCCAAAAAAAGCATATCGGTAGGGCCCTACATTCCACTCAATCCATTATAAATTGCTCTGTCTGCTGAAATACATTTCATGTTTTCTTGGTTGCTCTGCTCTGGTGAACACACATGGACGGGGTTGTCAATAAAGTAAAAAAAAAAGAAAGAAAAAGATCGAACCGAAATGAAACTTCAGTGCAGGCTTGTCGAAGCTGGAGAAGTCACTATCCCACAGTAAGTTGTTTCCATGTTTATTTATACTACTAACAAAATACCTGTTAATATCTGTATTTTCAATTTGACAAGTATTATCACTATTTGCACTGGGATAAATAATTACTTTGTAAAATAGGGATACAACAAAGAGGTGTGGTTTTTAATTACATGTTTAAATGGTTCATTACATTCAAATTCAGTTCATAGCCACCTGCTGGTATTCTTATTATCAACATGAATAAAATAAACACACAATCAAAATTTTATTGGAAGTTTCTAGGGCTGCACAATATATCGCAAATATGTTGTTATCGCGATACCAGCATGTGCAATATGCATATCCCAAAGAACAGATAAATATCGCAATGAATGGTCAGCTCAAATGTTTGCTACACATAATGCATTCTGTCAATAAAAAGGAAGCACGATGTTTTTTTTAACAAATCAAATAGAGCTCTTCACCCATTTGGCCAATTGGGTGGGTTCTCATAGGTTAGATGGCCGCCCCCGAGGCGGACGGCACTTAATTCTGATGGTTAGCAAACACCTGAGTTAGCTTTGTTCTGCTCTTTCTGCTGATTCTGCTTTTCCCGGGATCCACTGATTGCCTTTTCTTGTTCATTTTCTTTGTCCCTTTCCTCACATCTTTTGTTTTCTCATTTTTATGATATTTTTTGTCTTTTTTTTTGTTTGTTTTTGGTTATTTTTGTTCCTGAGTTAAGTTTTTATTTATCTCAAGTAACATCGTCATCGCAATATTAATCACTGTTATCGCATATCGCACATTTTCCTAATTCAATTCAATTCAATTCAATTCAAAAATACTTTATTAATCCCAGAGGGAAATTGATTGCTGTAGTAGCTCAGAATATTAATAATAATCAAGTCATCAAAGAGTTATTGTATATTACAATGGCTGTTGGCAGGAAGGATCTCCAGTAACGGTCAGTGTTGCAGCGAATGGTAAATGGCCTGTATTTGATATAGCGCCTTCTAGAGTCCTGGAACCCCCCAAGGCGCTTAACAACACAATCAGTCATTCACCCATTCACACACACATTCACACACTGGTGGGGATGAGCTACGATGTAGCCACAGCTGCCCTGGGGCGCACTGACAGAGGCGAGGCTGCCAAGCACTGGCGCCACCGGTCCCTCCGACCACCACCAGCAGGCAAGGTGGGCCAAGTATCTTGCCCAAGGACACAACGACAGCGACAGACTGAGCGGGGCTCAAACCTGCAACCTTCCGATTGCGGGGCGAGCACTTAACTCCTGTACCACCGTCGCCGTCAGCAAAACTGAAGAAGCCTCTGACTGAAGACACTCTTCCGTTGTCGGACAGTCTTGTGAAGAGAATGCTCAGGGTTGTCCATCATTTTCTTGATTCTCTGGAGAATCCTTCTTTGCATTATCTCCTCCAGTGGTTCCACAGTCGTTCCCAGAACAGAACCAGCCTTTGTTATTAGACTGTTGAGCCTTTTCAGGTCCCTGCTTAAATACTTTATTAATCCCAGAGGGAAATTGAAGCGTCCTGTGACCATTTTCTCACAGTTCTTCTTGTCACAGGTTGCCTCTGAACAAGTGGTTTGTATTCTGAGCAGAGAAAAACAAGATTGTGATCTGACTGTCCCAGAGGAGGTCTTGTTTTGGACATGTATGCATTCTTTACATTTGTATCATAATAATAATAATAATAATAATACATTTTATTTCAACAGCGCCTTTCTCAACACTCAAGGACACTTTACAGACAGAGATAAAATACACAATAAAAGATAGAACATCATAAAACAAACAGACAGATCGGAGCAAAGAGAGTTATTATTGGAATGCTAGATGGAACAGGTGGGTTTTGAGTCTGGTTTTAAAGAGAGTGAGGGAGTCAATGTTATGGAGGTCAGGAGGGAGGGAGTTTCAGAGCTGGGGAGCAGAGCGACTGAAGGCCCTGCTCCCCATAGTGACCAGACGGAAAGGTGGGACAGAGAGGTGGATGGAGGAGGAGGACCTGAGGGAACGGGTGGAGGTTGAAGGATGAAGGAGGTCTGAGAGGTACGGGGGAGCTAGGTTATGGATGGCTTTGAATGTATATAGCAGAATTTTGAATTGGATTCTGGAAGTGACTGGGAGCCAGTGGAGCTGCTGAAGAACAGGGGTGATGTGGTGGAAGGAGGGAGTTCTAGTAATGATGCGGGCTGTCGAGTTCTGGAGAAGTTGGAGTTTACGGAGGGATTTGTGAGGAAGACCGAAGAGAAGAGAGTTGCAGTAGTCAATACGGGAAGTGATGAGGCTGTGGACAAGAATGGCAACCGAGTGAGTAGTGAGGGAGGGGCGAAGGCGGTTGATGTTGCGTAGATGGAAGTAGGCAGACCGGGTAATATTGTTTATGTGGAACTGGAAGGATAGTGAGGAGTCGAGGATGACACCCAGACTCTTGACCAGAGGGGAGGGGGAAACTAAGGAGTTGTCGACAGGACGTGTAAAGCTGTGGATTTTGGATAGTAAGGATTTAGTGCCGACAAGTAACATTTCTGTTTTATCACTGTTAAGTTTGAGAAAGTTTGATGTGAACCAGTCTTTGATTTCAGATAAACAATTGGCGAGGGAGGAAGGAGGGAGTGAAGAGGAGGGTTTGGAGGATACATAGAGCTGGGTGTCATCCGCATAACAATGAAAATGGATGTCGAATTTACGGAAAATATTTCCCAGGGGAAGAAGGTAAGTGATGAAAAGGAGTGGACCGAGAACAGAGCCTTGAGGGACGTCGGTAGTGACAGGGAAGAGACGGGAAGTGAAGGATTTGAGTTGAATAAACTGAGTACGGCCAGAGAGATATGAACGGAACCAATCAAGCGGGGTATGAGAAATGCCAAGGGAAGACAATCTATGGAGGAGGATGGTGTGAGAGATGGTATCTAAGGCCGAACTCAAGTCGAGGAGGATGAGGATGGAGAGCAGTCCAGCATCGGCAGCAGTGAGGAGGTCGTTAGTGATTTTTATGAGTGCAGTTTCTGTACTGTGGCCAGGGTGAAAACCAGACTGGAAGGGCTCATAGAGGCTATTGAGGGTGAGATGAGCATGGAGTTGAACAGAGATTGTTTTTTCTATGATTTTTGAAAGAAAGGGAAGATTTGAGATGGGACGAAGATTATTGAAATTATTGGGATCAGTGCCAGGTTTTTTTTAATATTGGAGTAATAGATGCAGTTTGAAAAGTGAGGGAACAATACCGGTAGAGAGGGAGGAGTGGATTATGGCAGTTATGAGAGGGAGAAGGGAGGTGAGAAATGTTTTAACCAAAACTAGGGAGGGGGTCGAGAGAGCAGGTGGAGAGCTTTGATTTACAGATCATAACACATATCCAATGTCTTGTTTTCTCTGGTGGAGCAGCTGACAAACTGTTGAAATGTGGAAGTGTAGCAGAGGGCGAAGCATGATTAAAATCACCAGATGTAGCCACAAATGTATTGGGGTGCTGGGTTTGTAGCTTAGCGACAATGGAACTGATGGCATCACATGCATTTTCAGCAATGGCTGAAGGTGGAATATAAACGATTGCAAGACAACACTGGTGAACTCTCTTGGCAAATAATATGGGCGACAACTTACTGCCAAGAGTTCAACATCTGGGCTGCAGAGGTAGAAGTGGGGCTGCAACGATTCGTCAACGTTGTCGACAAATATCGACAATAGAAATAGTCGACAATGAATTTCATTGTCGACGTTGTCGCCAGATGTGTTTTTTTCCGACCAAGTGAGGCATCTCACTTCATTACAATCTCTGCCGAGGGTTGCACATGCACAATAGCTTCTCTGCTGAGTGCCAACTAACAGAAATGGCGGCGTCCAACACAGCAGCTACGAATACGGAAACATCTAAAGTTTGGGAGCATTCTAGCCTGGATTCGGCGAATAAAAAGATTACCCAAATTATTTGCAAAGCAGTCCTTGCGTATCACGGCAGCACCTCGGTGATGCATGAACACTTAAAGAGAAATCACATCGGACAGTAGAATGAAGCAGAGTCTGACTCACCTCGGTAAGATTTAAATAACATGAAAGCCAATACGTTTTGTTTTGGATGTACATTGTACATTTTTTAAACGTATTTTCGCTTTTAAAAAAAGGAGATTTAATGTTATGCCTGACTGTGCTGGACGGAAGTATTTAAATTTTATTTATGCATTTATGTCTGTACTGACTGAGCACTGTGCCTAATTGGTGTTAGACAGGGCATTTTTATTTACTTTTAGTATGAATTGGCCTATCAGCAGCAAAGTTCAATAAAATGTACATTTTCCATTGAAGTACCCATCTTTCTTGTGTTTATTATCATTTTTCACAGAATTAAAGCAATTTCATACTAAATTTAAGAAAAATTTTATAATTATCCAATTAGTCGACTAATCGTTTCAATAGTCGGTGACTAGTCGACTATTAAAATAGTCGTTAGTTGTAGCCCTACCTAGAAGTTTCCTTTTTTAAGTGTTTTATTGTTTTCTGCATTACACCGCTAGAGGTTTGTGGTGAATAAATAGTTATGTGTTAATGTTTTACTACTGTAGGTAAGGTGTTTAAAGAGCAAGTCACCCCTTCCAGATTCTTACTCAACTCCCACTTCCTGTTTGAAAAATGCAACAAATGCTGTTGCCTAGCAAACCGAGAGGGCGGAGCCGCTAACAAATACACACACACAGGCTAACAACAACATTGTGACATAATATAGAGCTCCGGACCCCACGTGACTCTCAGTTAGTGGACGCCATTTTGGCATGCAAAAAAGGTAAACAAACACGGATGTAACCATGAACATGAACGGGATCCGCTTGGATTTTACTTCGTCTGAGTTTACTTCACACTTTAAAACAGAAGAAATCGTTTT